AAGGAGAGTTATGTAAAATTATGAGAAAAAGATGCTTAATGAACCCAAAAGCCAGATGAGGCGGAATTAAGGCAGGACAGTGAGGAATGGGCTGAATGTGGGAGATGGGATGGATGGGGGGGGGACGTCCATGGACGGGGAAGTGTGAGGTGTGAGAGAGAGTGTGAGGTGTGAGAGAGACAGAGGCCAGGGTATGAGTAACTATGTTCAGGGGTTACCTTTGAACAATGACTGACATGGAGTTGACCAGACCACACACTAGAAGTTGAAGGGACGACGACGTTTCAAAATCGACTTGAGAATGGTCCAGGACGGACCGAAACGTCGTCGTCCCTTCAACTTCTAGTGTGTGGTCTGGTCAACATACTTCAGCCACGTTATTGTGACTCATCGCCTGCATACTGACAAGGAGTCATACACAAGTGGTAATCAATCATCTGTACGCCACCCAGGAACCGGCTCGTATAATGAGCATAATAACACGTCGTATTTTGACGTATAATCTCCCTAAGGCTCCAAAAATCGTCGTACTAGACAATGGTAGCGGCTCGCGAAATTGACACACTCTCTCCCGTTTTCTGTTTTGGGTCCTCTGGTAGGTTAGGATAAGGGCACTTTAGTACGACAGTTTCTTGACGTTGGGGAACCTTAGGAGGGACTGGATGTTCATCATGACACCCCAGATGTAACCACCAGAGTGATATAAAGACCGGTAACTACTATCTATAACTACTTTCTGTGCCGGACGAATTTAGAAGAAGATGAATGTCGTCACATTATTTTAAGTACGAACATCAACACGGTTCCAACATTCTTCACGCGATCATCTCGCCATAAAATACACCGAAATGAAATTGAATATTTTATGCAAGCCGCGATAGCGCGAGGAATGACATTTCAATCATTTGAATGAAATGGTTTTACCGCGGCTGTTGTGGAGAGCATCTTGTACCAGGTGGCTGTAGGGGTGGATCTCCCTTAGCGCTGCTCCAGGGAAGGTTTAGTCTCAGTTGGATACCAGTTTGGTACTTCTGAGATCCTTCCGTATTGTGTGCAGCCGTGGTGTAGGTGGTAGGACAGCAGACGCCAACTCTTGTGGCCCGAGCTCAAATCTCCGGTAATGTCAGCGGAATAATATTCAATATAACTGTTCAACAGATGTTGAATGTTCAAGCAACCTGTCCGTGGATACGAGACGTAGAGGAGGAGCCAGGGACCAGATTCACGAAGCAGTTACGCAAGCACTTACGAACCTGTACATCTTTTCTCAATCTTTAGCAGCTTTGTTTACAATTATTAAACAGTTAATAAGCTCCGTAGCACCAGGAGGCTGTTTATAATAACAGCAACAGTTGATTAGCAAGTTTTCATGCTTGTAAACTGTTTAATAAATGTAACCAAAGCCGCCAAAGATTGAGGAAAGATGTACACGTTCGTAAATACTTGCGTAACTGCTTCGTGAATCTGGCCCCAGGTCCGTAAGTGCTTGCGTAACTGCTTCGTGAATCTGGCCCCAAGTCCGTAAGTGCTTGCGTAACTGCTTCGTGAATCTGGCCCCAGGTCCGTAAGTGCTTGCGTAACTGCTTCGTGAATCTGGCCCCAGGTCCGTAAGTACTTGCGTAACTGCTTCGTGAATCTGGCCCTAGGTCCGTAAGTGCTTGCGTAACTGCTTCGTGAATGTGGCCCCAGGCTGCCCTTCTCCCCCCTCACTCTAACACGGTTCCTCCTCCTAAGGAGAGTGTGTTGATTCACGCGTGCAAGTCATCATTACTTCTCACACCAGATCTCACTGGATGAGATTTTTTTTTACTGATCAGGACGGAAGAAATCCATTACTTTTCTCGTCTTGGAAGGTGGCTGGCGCTGATGTGTGCACGTCCTGCAGGCGTATGGCAGCACTGACCTGTGATTGCCTAGTGATCTATAACGGTGACTTGAAAGTGATTTCTAGCTGTGATTTAGACAACAGGTTTTCCAGGCGATTGGCCTGCGATCACTCACTGTGATTGGCCAATAATCTCAAGCTGTGATCGTCTGTAACTCTGTTACTGTCAGGAAAGTCTCTTAAAGTTGAATATTTTACTATATTCAAGTCACAATAGACTTGATAATGGAGGCGATGAGTCACAATAACGTGGGTAAAGTCTGATGACCAGACCACACACTAGAAGGTGAAGGGACGACCACGTTTCGGTCCGTCCTGGACCATTCTCAAGTCGATTGTCAACGACTTGAGATTGAAACGTCGTCGTCCCTTCACATTCTAGTGTGTGGTCTGGTCATCAGACTTGATAATGGTTCACGACGGACCGAAACGTCTTGATCTCGTCTTCTGGTGAGTGGGTTTGGGTTGGTCATCATGTCTTCTCTCTCACTGTCTGTCACTGGGAGCCGGTGGCTGAGCCGACAAAACACTGGACGCGTGATCCTGTGGTCCCGGGTTCGATCCCGGGCGCCGGCGAGAAACAATGGGCAGAGTTTCTTTCACCCTGATGCCCTGCTACCTAGCAGTAAATAGGTACCTGGGAGTTAGTCAGCTGTCACAGGCTGCTTCCTCGGGGTGGAGGCCTGGTCGAGGACCGGGCCGCGGGGACACTAAGCCCCGAAATCATTTCAAGATAACTGTCCTCCGCCGCTGTGAGCGAGCACCCACGTATGCTCTCTTTTTCTTAGTATTAGTCTTTAAGTCTTTTCTTACTCTTAGACTTTTCTTAGTCTCAAGATGCTTAGGAAATCATGATTAGTTAGGAACCTTATCTCCAGAATGCAGTATTTTGTGAAGAGAGTTGATTCACGAAGCAGTTACGCAAGCAAGCACTTACGAACCTGTCCATATTTTCTCAATCTTTGGCGGCTTTGTTTACAATTATTAAACAGTTAATGAGCTCCGAAGCACCAGGAGGCTGTTTATAACAATAACAACAGTTGATTGGCAAGTTTTCATGCTTGTAAACTGTTTAATAAATGTAATCAAAGCCGCCAAAGATTGAGGAAAGATGTACACATTCGTAAGTGTTTGCGTAACTGCTTCGTAAATATTGCACCGGGCTGCTAGCTGACCGTAGGGCGCCAATATCTCTCCGCCCAACAAAGTAGTACCTATAGCATTGTGTTCATTATGGATAACCAATAGAATTATATACATAAATGTTTTGCAAATGAAAAAATGTACTATTTTTAAATGAATACCCGTAGAATATTGTTAAATGGGAATCTCTGGGGCTTGTTCAGCGGTAATTGGACACGTGGTATTGAGGGGCGACGGTGAGAGGGCGTCCTCACTGACCAGACCAGAAAATGGCGGGAAGAGTAGTGGTGGTGTTCGCGTTATTAACGAGTTTCAATCCTTCCAGGCAGTCACATGCCGCATATTCATTTATCTTGCAGAATATCATTAGTGTTATGTTGAGTGATTACGGAGGAGTTATATTGAGAGTTCAGATTTCAGAATATATCATTCATAATTTATTGTATCAGGGGACTGGAAGGGAAGGGAAGGGAACTATCAAGGGAAAGCGCCAAGCCTTTACGACTATCTAGCATTTGGAAGGGGTTAGGATAAGGGTTGGGGATGGGACGGTGGGGAAGGGAATGGTGCCCAATCTCTTGGACGGTCGGGGATTGAACACCGACCTGCATGAAGCAAGATCGTCGCTCTACAAGATCTCTAGAAGGATTGGAAGCCAGTGTGTATTCATTCACGTTTGGCTTTAATCAACGTCTCCTCCGACCCTGGGTCGAATTACTGACCCCGCCCAGGATGCAAACCCCACAAGAAGTTGACTAACTCCTAGGTGAACATGTGCATTAGGTGAAAGAGAATTTGTCCAACCATTTCTGTCCCGTGTGGGATTCGAACCCGGAATTCTGGATTGTGCGTCGCGAACGAACCCGCCTGTATCACTGTGACTCTCCTAATTCCTAATTAATTCCTGCACCGACTCCTCCTGATATTTCTATGTCTCTGATCTTGTTGAGTGGACCATCATTTAACTGTTGTTACAGTAAGGTGTCCATCTTGATATTTATATATGTAAAAGGAAAATAATGAACACTGCTTATATATACATACATATATATATATATATATATATATATATATATATATATATATATATATATATATATATATATATATATATATATATCAGTACAAACTCATTTATGGATATGTCTAACCTACGCTTGAAACAATCAAGGGATCCTAACGTCTACTATGGAACGTGGTAACTGGTTCCTCAGATCACAGGGAATGGAAGGGGTATAGACCCTGCACACATGTACACACCAGACACATGTACACACCAGACACATGTACACACCAGACCCCATGTACACACTAGACCCCATGTACACACCAGATCCCATGTACACACCAGACATATGTACACACCAGACCCCATGTACACACCAGACCCCATGTACACACCAGACCCCATGTACACACCAGACACATGTACACACCAGACCCCATGTACACACCAGACACATGTACACACCAGACCCCATGTACACACCAGACACATGTACACACCAGCCACATGTACACACCAGACACATGTACACACCAGCCGCATGTACACACCAGACCCCATGTACACACCAGACCCCATGTACACACCAGACCCCATGTACACACCAGACACATGTACACACCAGACACATGTACACACCAGACCCCATGTACACACCAGACACATGTACACACCAGACTCATGTACACACCAGACACATATACACACCAGCCACATGTACACACCAGACTCAGGCACCCAAGAGGTAACCCTCGGGACATGAATCACTGACACTCGGGTGGCAGGATCAGCATTTTAGCCAGATATTGGAACAGTTCCCAGCAGGCAAAATATTATCGAGCAACGCTAACTCGCCGTTATCAATGTTATCAATTGTGTAAACGTTACCAACGTTGCTTCAGCGTTGCATCAGCGATGTTGGACAACATTGGGGGAGGGGGGAGGGGGGGGATATAGGCCACTCACCGAGCATCTTGATAACGGCCTTGTTCCTGGAGCCGTCGTTAGTGGAGGCGCAGTTATGACAGCCGATGGAGGGGACTGAGCGAGCCAGCCGCGAAGACTTCTTGAGCTGCACAGCGATGCACACGTACAGCACAGTGATCAAGAGCATCGGCGCCACGAAGAACAGCACGGTGGAGACTTCGAAGAACACCCAGATTCGCTTCTTGAGGTAGCAGCCGGATGTATTGGGGATATCCTGACCATCCGGCGTCTTCTGGTAGACTATGCCGTACTGCATGGCTATGGGCACAGCGCAAACTGTGGCGACTATCCATATGATGGCTATGGAGCGGATGACGCGGCCCAGCTGCGACATAGTGTGGGAGCGCAGCGGGTGGCATATACCTATATATCGCTCCACTGTGAAGGCCGCTATAGTGAGGATAGAGGCGTTGGTGGAGATCTCAGCCGTGAAGCCCCGGATGAAGCAGAAGACGGAGCCGAAGATGTAAGGTTCGCCCCACCACAGCAGGTAGAACTCGTCTGGCATGCCTAGTGCCAGCAGTAATAGGTCGCTGACGGCCATGCTGAAGAGGTAGTAGTTGGTGGCGGTGTGCATGATGCGGTTCCTGACGATGACGATGCAGGTGGCGACGTTGCCCAAGACGCCGGTGATGGTGATGAGGATGTAGATCACTGTCATCACCACTATCATCGTCAGGTTGTGCGGCAGCTCCTGGCCCCCGCCGCTCTCACTGCCGGAGGTGAGGTTGGCTCCCGGAGGAGGCACCGTTGGGGTGCTGGCGTCCCCTGGGGGGAAGGTAGGGAGGAGCGCCCCCTGGGTCGTCGGGGTCGTGGTGCTCATGCCTGTCGTCGTCAAGGTCGTCCAGGTGTCGTTCACCTCCTCCATGGCTCTTCCTGCAAAAGACGAAACTATTAAAATATATAAACTAATTTATGTTACTGGAGAGTGAGGGGGGGAATTATCTTGGGGGCATCTCCCCCTTTGCACATTATTTTAATTATTGAGAGAATATGACCCCATTTGGGATTATCACAGCAGCCAATCAGCTGCTTCAAGCAGCAACCACCACTCAATCGACAGTAACGAGTCGAAGGCCACCACTGCCTTGCCTCGTCTATACAAGTCGAACCATGTCGACCCGAACAAGCTGGTTAGACTCCTCGTGATAATTAACTACAGGACGGGCAAATGGCTGTCATGAAACTTAAATAAATTTTCTCCTGAAACACTAAAATAAATATTCGATAAATTTTCTCAACAGGAGACGTGTCAACTGTTAAACAGGACAAACAACAGAAGGAAGAGTCATGAGGCTGTCAGCTGCAGCGCCTGGACGAACAACATAACGTAAATAACGGGCCCAAGGCACCTGTTGAACCGTTAATAAAACAGACAGGGAACAGAAAGGAGAAGGTGGGTGTCCCTAAGATCAGTAAATCCTATGAAAGGAACTGCACGGCTGAAGAGTTCTTTGAAGAGTAAGAGAGGGTTCCAGGCAGTAAGAGAGAACCAAACCACCCACCAGAAGATGGATAGTTTGGTTCACGACGACGTATCGGTCCGTCGTGGACCATTATCAAGTGCTTAGTCTTAACACACAACTACATAATGGTCCAGAACTGATCGAAACGTCGTGGTTTCTTCATCTTCTGACGGAGTGGTCATGTTTGTACCTGGTGACGGGAGTTTCGCACACCGACAGCGGTGACAGGACCTGGAGGAGTTAGTTTGTCTACCCCCGCAGGCTTACCTTGGCGTACCTTGGCGTACCTTGGCGTACCTGGGCGTACCAGGCGTACCTACGCGTCCCTGACAGAGCCACGTACAGTACAACAATTCCTTTATAGCCGTCATCTAAGTCCAATCCCTTCTAGATCCCACCTCATATGCCTACCACCCTCACCTCACACTCACACACTCACCCTCACACTCACACTAACACACTCACCCTCACACTCACACACTCACCCTCACACTCACACACTCACCCTCACACTCACACACTCACCCTCACACTCACACACTCACACTCACACTCACACACTCACCCTCACACTTAAAAATGACCAAATGTAAGTTTGGTCGTCAGCAGAACCTTTTATTTAGGGTTTCAACCACAAACGTTTTTTAACATGGCCAAAGAGCGCCGAGGAACGTAAAAGTTGGGTAAATTTCCTTGTCGAAGTATCACAGCGAGGTGCTTCCTGGCGCTGATATTGTGGGGAGGGAGAAGTTGAGGGTAGGAAAGTGAATTACAGTTAAAAATAGTTGGACATGGTAAGGGAGAGAGAGAGAGGGAGAGAGAGAGAGAGGGGGAAAGAATGAGAGAGAGAGAGAGAGAGTACTCTCTCTACTACTTCTCTGCTCGACTACAGTACTACTATTCTACTACTCTCTCTCTCTTTCTCCCTCAAGTCAAGCAATTTTCCCACAATAGAAGTTGAGACAGGTTGACTAGTCCAGTAGTTACCAGGAAGGATGTTAGTACTCAAACAAGAATACAAACCAAACACCTCCCAGGGCCGGAGGAAGTGTTCGCCAGGGTGCTTAAAGAATGCCAAGAGGACCTTCGCGAGCCGTTGTCTCCCATATTTAATATATTAGAGTCAGGCAGAGTACCAGAGTCATGGAGGGTTGCCATCTGTACTCACCTAGTTGTGCTAGTGGGGGTTGAACTTCGCCTCTCTGGTCCCGCCTCTCAACCGTCAATCTACTAGTGCACACATTCATATGGAATCTGAATTAAATGTATATCTGCCTTGCCTTGTGTATATCTATACTACCGAGTCATACTGAAACGTTCTTTGGTTATCTTGAGATGATTTCGGGGCTTAGCGTCCCCGCGGCCCGGTCCTTAACCAGGCCTCCTTTTATTACGCACACCCCCAGGAAACAGCCCGTAGTAGCTGTTTAACTCCGAGGTACCTATTTACTGCTAGGGAACAGGTACATCAGGGTGAAAGAAACATTTTGCCCATTTGTCTCCTTCTGCACCGGGGATCGAACCCGGAATCGCAGGACTACGAATCCGAAACGCTCTCCACCCAGCTGTCAGGACCCTAATAGTACCAATAGTCATCTTATATATAATTGAATCATATGTGTATTGGCATGAAAACGTTCCTTAAATACGAATTACTTAATTATATGCAAATTACATGTATAAGTAATTATGTAATTATTGATTATACAGTTGAATTCAATTCAAAAATTTTATTTCAATTCAAAAGACAAGCAGAGTGAGTAATAATAATATTTGAAAACGCAACTAATTTAAGCAAACACCAACAATATTTGTGTACATTTATATGCCTCTTGGCAAAAATATGAAAGCAAATATACCATTATTATAAAGCAATTAAATGATTTAAATTTAATTACCAAACTCCATCAATGTGGATCGTTGATATAATTTTTCAGGTGATAGTTATTAATGAGGCAACGAGGCCTCGTGAGGCGCCACGACAACACAGGTCTGTTCAGTTATTGTTCCTGAACAATAGATAAATAGATATAGATAGATAGATAGACAGATAAATAGATTATAATAAAAGTCTGAAGTGTTTAAGTCAACTTACAGTGTGTACATCAACCTATTGCGGAAGTTCTCAACAACTCTAATTGGCAGTTGTTTCAAGTTAATTATCTGACTCAAATAGCTACCCTGATCCTTCCTCCATCTGTCACTGTCTGTCTGTCTGTGTCTGTCTGTCTGTCTGTCACTGTCTGTCTGTCTGTGTCTGTCTGTCTGTCTATCTGTCTGTTTGTCTGTCTGTCTGTCTGTCTGTCTGTCTGTCTGTCTGTCTGTCTGTCTGTCACTGTCTGTCTGTCTGTGTCTGTCTGTCTGTCTGTCTGTCTGTCTGTCTGTCTGTCTGTCTGTCTGTCTGTCTGTCTGTCTGTCTCTCCCCCCTCCCAATATTTCCACTGTTCCTCTCTAGCCTTAATTTGTAATTTGCATGTAATATTTCCGTCATTCCTCTCGCCTGCTCTCTGTCGGAATGGTAGTAATTGGTATCAGTGGTCACACAGGATGGTATTATGTGGTGGTGGAGTGAGAGGTATATGTTCTGTACGACACATTATGTGGTGGTGAGTGAGAGGTATGTGTTGTGTACGACACATTATGTGGTGGTGGAGTGAGAGGTATGTGTTGTGTACGACACATTATGTGGTGGTGGAGTGAGAGGTATGTGTTCTGTAGGACACATTATGTGGTGGTGGAGTGAGAGGTATGTGTTCTGTAGGACACATTATGTGGTGGTGGAGTGAGAGGTATGTGTTCTGTAGGACACATTATGTGGTGGTGGAGTGAGAGGTATGTGTTCTGTAGGACACATTATGTGGTGGTGGAGTGAGAGGTATGTGTTCTGTACGACACATTATGTGGTGGTGGAGTGAGAGGTATGTGTTCTGTACGACACATTATGTGGTGGTGGAGTGAGAGGTATGTGTTCTGTACGACACATTATGTGGTGGAGTGAGAGGTATGTGTTCTGTACGACACATGGAGGCTGTCCGCGCTGGAAGCGGGGGGGGGGGGAGGGATTAATTAACCTGTGATTTATTTGATCGTAATTATCTTTCCAGGTCATTGGATATTCATTTGGGGATATTTAGTGCATAAGACTTAGTGGTTTGATAGTTTGTTGATTGTTAGCCTAGTACAGGTATATTGTTTGTTGATTGTCAGCCTGGTACAGGTATATTGTTTGTTGATTGTCAGCTTGGTACAGGTATATTGTTTGTTGATTGTTTGCCTGGTACAGGTATATTGTTTGTTGATTGTCAGCCTGGTACAGGTATATTGTTTGTTGATTGTTAGCCTGGTACAGGTATATTGTTTGTTGATTGTTAGCCTGGTACAGGTATATTGATTGTTGATTGTTAGCCTGGTACAGGTATATTGTTTGTTGATTGTTAGCCTGGTACAGGTATATTGTTTGTTGATTGTTAGCCTGGTACAGGTATATTGTTTGTTGATTGTCAGCCTGGTACAGGTATATTGTTTGTTGATTGTCAGCCTGGTACAGGTATATTGTTTGTTGATTGTCAGCCTGGTACAGGTATATTGTTTGTTGATTGTCAGCCTGGTACAGGTATATTGTTTGTTGATTGTCAGCCTGGTACAGGTATATTGTTTGTTGATTGTTAGCCTGGTACAGGTATATTGTTGATTGTTAGCCTGGTACAGGTATATTGTTTGTTGATTGTTAGCCTGGTACAGGTATATTGATTGTTGATTGTCAATGTCATGCCAGAGTTGTATCTGGGGTATATCCGTCCACCTGCCATGTAATAACAATCTCTCTACTTAAAACAGCAATATTAATGCTGAAAAATGCATGAAATTTCAATTTTCCAAAATGGGTTAATGCATCAGAGCTGCTTGCTCTTTGATCTTCAAGCTCTGTGGGACTCTATGACCAAATGGTCCCAATTGGCACTCTGTTATAGAACACGACTCTTTGAACCAGTGCCTCTCTGTAACACAAGCCGGCCCCGGCCACACAAGTGCCGTTGTGTAGCTCTGGTGGCACCCAGCAGGTTTGGTGAGCCATGTGGGTGTGTTTATGATGTCACACACACCTGCACGGTGTTCCCTGACGTCACTCACACACCCACAGTGTTCCCTGACGTCACTCACACGCCCACAGTGTTCCCTGACGTCACTCACACACCCACAGTGTTTTCTGACGTCACTCACACACCCACAGTGTGTCCTGACGTCACTCACACACCCACAGTGTTTTCTGACGTCACTCACACACCCACAGTGTTCCCTGACGTCACTCACACACCCACAGTGTTCCCTGACGTCACTCACACACCCACAGTGTGTCCTGACGTCACTCACACACCCACAGTGTGTCCTGACGTCACTCACACACCCACA